TTGGATTAGGTTAAGTCATTATTATGAGAAACTAAGTCATTATTACGAGATACTAAGTCATTATTATGAGAAAATAAGTCATTATTTCGAGAAACTAAGTCATTATTACGAGAAAGTTTCTCATTATAACGAGATACTACGTCATAATTTTGAGAAAGTCTCTCATTATTATGACTTACAGAATTATATTTTTTTATTCAGTGGCGGAAACGGGCTTCCATACTTACCATATTATGACCAAAAAAATGAGAAGCAAAATCACATATGAATTGTTTTACTTCAAATTTTCTTTTGTTGTTTTTTTTATGATAAAACAATAAATGAAAATTTGCTATTTAAAAGAGAAAAATGAACATTAAAACAACTCACTCATGGTCAATGTTGTCTAGCTCTCTTCTCTGTTTTTGACTGACTCAATCTGTAATGAATAAAAGTAAATGGCTGCATATTTGTCAAGTGTATAATTGTGTTTGCTAACGTAAGGCTTTCTGTGATTTACTGATCAATAAACAAATGGCTGGCACTGCTTCTCTCACTAATGATAAATCTTGAGGCAGTGTGTGTACTGTATGTATGATCCTTCCCAGCACTGGCTTCATCAGCAATGACTGTCATGTTTTTTGAACACTGACTCATATTGTTCGCTCAAAATAAACAAACAGCAAATATATATATTACATAAGTATAGAAATTATACCCTAAAACTATAACGCTTTTTAAAATATGCTGCTGTTTCAAATCGACAAGATGTTCTTTCCAGGATTATTCATTTCTGTTGATGAGTTGGAATTTGAACGCGCCACAGGATGTTTAATTGTAATAGAGCTGTACAGTCATGCCATCAATTTGTAGGCCAAACCTGGAAGGCTAATTTGCCAAAGATTCCCACAGGAATTTCCAGTGGGTTTTAGAATGGCTGTTGCACATTTACAGTACGAATTAAATTAGGCTTGTGGTTACCTTATGAGAGTGTTTGTTCTACACCATAAATTACACACAGTCCTCCCTAAAAAGTGAACTTAGATGCAGCTAATAAACTGCTATATAAGGACTGCTTCATAAGCGTCATAAAATGTAATGTCTCCTTTAAATTGTGTGCCTCCATTTGAAAACAAAATAATAAGTTTAATGAATTGTGTGCATAAATCAAATACCAAATACCACATTTATATGTGGTATTGCAAACAAAATGGATTATTAATATCATTTAATATTTATCTGGAAATAATTATGTCTGTATGACAACATATTTTTGGGTAATTCATAATGAAAAATGAATTGTAGTAACTACACTTACAGAAGATAGGCTACATGAATTATTTTAAATGTTTTATTCTACTTCCTTAAAAATTTGATTACAATTCTGCATCACATTTTTCACATCATTTCAAATTCGACTTAAATTCATGGAAATTAACTGAAATTTAAAAAGTATCCTCAATTCGTTGAATGTTATAGTTACATGAATGGTGCACACATCTGGTTAATATAAGATGATGTCAGAGAAAAAAAAATGTAAACAACACATTAGCCCCAAAGTCAGTTTAGTTTGAATCCCACATTCACACTTACATTTTCCCAAAGTTTAAAGTTGCAAATCAGTGATAAATGATCAAACAGAAACTAAGACAAACCTTTCATTCTGTCTCAATACTGATGATTGTATTTTACATTTGTGGTAGCCTGCTGGGTTCTATGTAATAACTGCTTTGATATAAAACAGAACTGTTTTAACTGCACTTCAGAAATAAGACACTCTCCACTATTTATTTAAATATTTATGTGGATAAGAGATGCTTAAACAAGAAAATGTGATTGGTATGCAAGTGGGTTTGTTCTCCCTCAGCTCTGAGAGAAGCTGCTCTACTTACACAGAAATCACACACACACACACACACACTAATACAATGACATTATATTACCAGCGCTGCGGTAAACTCATTTCTCAGAATGAAAAAGTGAGGGCAAGCAAAGTAATATGAATTGGAATGTAGACCTCTCACTTCACAGTAACTATGAAATATCACTATACGAGAACAAAAAACACACTGATCAACTATCTATACTGTACATATGTCAATAAGCAGATGTGTTGCGGTCAACATGGGAGAAAGCCTAATCTCAATAATGCATGCATCACATCTATACTGCTATACATGCTATACTGTAGATGTGCAATCATACAAGATCTTGGGAGCTGCAACAGGCGTACAGTATCAGGGCCTCAGGATGAGGGCCTCGCGCTATTAAGGGTCATAACTATTTAATGGAAAAGTCAACGTTAAAGCATGCTCTCACATACCTAAAATAGCTACAGTACAATTTTAAGTATATCTTTAAGTATAACTTTAAGTTTTTAGTATCCTCAAAAGTTTCCTGATTATGCAGGAGGGTGTGATTGCTAGCTCAGCAGAATTAATTCCCAAAAGAACATAATCAAAAGCATGTCAACCATCCAAATCATGGCAAAAAATATAGCCTGCGGTATTAAGAGGGTGCCAACAGCCTCATGAAAAACAATCTCTCTCCACTAGGGCAGTTAAAATGGCTGAAAAACTAAATTAGAATTTTGCACTTAAATCTTATCAATATTCAAATTATATTAGAATTTAAAAGGCATAATTTCAGTTAAGGGGGGAAAAAAGCTTTTGGCTTCTCTCCTGAGGCCACAAGAGGGCGCATCGAACAAAATATTATGCACGTTTCTTCAAAGCATAATAAAATAACACGACTATCTTTGAAAAAAGTGCATAATGTTTAAAATAATGTTTATAAACCTTACATAATTAAAGTTGCTTAAACAATTAGAAACAAAACAGAATCATGCATGTATGTATAGTTTAATACAAAGGACCGAAAACCAATCACAAAGAGTATTTTCTTCATTTAAAAACTTGAGATGCAGTAGGATGGGGGAAAAGTCTTGAGACATGTTTTTAAAAAGTTGAACTTACATTATTTTTCCATGGCTTTCTAAACATGCGGCTCTCTTGTGCGAGATGCGAGTGCAACGGTGATAGATGTCCCTCTAGAAAATGTGATAAATATGCGTTTTGTGTGAACAGTTTGGTTTCGGTTTTGACGTAAACAACATCATCTCCGCACTGATGTTCTTTTCCCCCGCACTATTTTGAATGAACAACGTAGCAGTGCCGCATCTAGTGGGTTCAACTGGCTAGACTAACAAAAGCATTAAAATGCAATGACACTTACATCGTCGTCGCATTTCGTGTGCCACTGATAAGGCTGCCTGACGCACACCTAAAATTGTGGATGTGGATTTTTATTTTAAATTCGATGAATACTCGAAATTCAAAAAAAAATTTGACAGCCCTACTAGTCTCCACTGCAAAAAAATGGCTTATCTTACTTAGTATTTTTGTCTTGTTTCTAGTCAAAATATCTTAAATCAAGATATGTTTACTAGATAAGCCAAATTAATTAAGATATTTAGTCTTGTTTCCAGGGGAAAAAACTAAACTAAGAGCATTTTGCTTATAACAAGTAAAATTATCTGCCAGTGGGGTAAGTAAAATACTCTTGTTTTAAGAATATTTTACTCACCCCACTGGCAAATAACTTGATTGTTTTAAGCAAAATGCACTTAATTTAGTTTTTAATTTTTCTGACAGAGGTCAGATCCATAGGATATCAAAAATCCAAAAAAGCTCCAAAAAGCTCCAAATCAAGTACCTAGCGTCAATCAAAAAACTCTTAAATGTAACAGCATTTTCATCACAGCATAAAAATGGCCACCAATCAGGGGTGTGAACTGTCTACACAATATTGATTATACTACTGACAATTGGCTGCCAATGGGGTCTAATTTTGTTGTCAAAACAGCTGAAACATTCTTACGATTTGGAATGACATTAAGGTGAGTAAATGATGACAGACTTTCAAATTTTGGGTGAACAATCCATTTAAAGGGCCATGAAAAAACTAAACCATATGTTCATGTTGATGGAATATGAAGGAAGACGATGATAAGGCACATTATTAAAAAAATTTTTAGGGAGGAAGTGGTAAATTTAGAGATTGATAACAACAATGTTAAGAGAACATGAAAAGATATGTGATACACAGGATTTATACACTTAAGTCATACACAACCTATAGTTGTTATTCATAAGAAGGTGTGACTATTACCATTTAACAAGTTAAACAAAGAACCAGATTAAGTACGGTAGTAATATTAACTGATAAATAATTACTAGTAACTTAAATAGGTAGCAGCAACAACTGCATTAATTACTAGTAGGAAGTGTATTGATATTAAAAGCAACATTTGCCAGTTGTTACTAATGAATAGACACTTTTCACTTTAGGGACAGTATTTAAGCTAGTATTTAATTACTGTAATTAGTACTTGTAACTAATGAATAGCTACTAGTATACCAGCCTCTTGAATTGCATGCAACAATTAGCCTACATTTTTAAAGAACAAATGTTAAAATTGCCATAGTTCAACTTTATATGATAACATTTATAGGCTATATTAGCCTATATCACAGCGTATTACAATATTTACAGATGAAATGCTGTTCTCCTGGTAATAGTTCCAAAATATAGGCAAAGAATGCTTTATGCATCGCTCCTTTTACCCCAAAACCCGAACATAACATCGCATGACTCTTTGTAGCGCTGCTCCTGTCACCTTAAAGAATAGGACGCTCTACAAACGCAGATGCTCGACAACACACTAGGTGATCTACAACGTGGGAATGCATTGCGAACCTACCTTTTCGGTCAGATTCTCTGCATTGGTGAAATCCTGCCAGTTTTCTTCAGAGCACAATGCGAATGCACGGTGTATTGACCAAGCGGTCGAATGGTTGCGAGGTGGTGCGCTGCGGCGGGTTATAGAGCGCTGGCCAATCAGCAGCCCGCCCGCAGAAGGCGAATCAGTGCTAGCCCTACTGCTCACTTGACCAACCTACACTCTCCACTTCATACTGCAAACTCTCTCTACAAAGCACAGGTCAAGATTACTCCTGCTCTTGATAAGGCAAGGCTGATAACTGAATTAATTTCACTGTAAAATACCTAGCACATAAATATATCAAATAAAAAAAATATATCGTATGAAAATGTAGGCCTATTATGTAAGTTTAACAAGTTTAACAGTATTGGACTGTAGTTTATATAAATGCATTTATTTATTTGTAAAAATATAAAATTGTCTTTATCTATATAAAGTAAGCTGCAGTGATATTGTTCGTAATTGGCCATAAGGCCCCTTTAAAAACCATTATGCTGACTAATTCTAGCAGCAACCCGCCATTTTTTTCAGATAGGGTTTAGCTCGATGCTTTTGTAATATACAAAGAGAGGATATAAGCTGTATTTTTTTCTACTAAAAAAGTACACACTGTGGATTAAACTATATGTCTCCTACACACATTCCCAAATTACCACAGCGCAAGGTAAATAACTCATTTAGCCTACATATTCCCTTACGAAAAATACGTTTATTCAAGTGTGCTATTAGTATACTTCTTTTGAACTAAAAATAGGAAAGTATAATTTTAGTCTACTTTTATGTACTTCTCAGAAATAGGCTTTATGTACTTCTCAGAAATATACTTAAAATGACATTTAAGTATACTTGACTTATACTTAGAAAAAGTCTAAATATATTGTAGCTATAATTGTGCTCCTAGAATCCGTGTTTTCATTGTTATACTGTAGAGAGCGCTAGTACAAATCTTCTGTACAGAATTTCCAAAAAACACAAGTGAAGAAGAAACCGAAACAACAGACGCTTCCACATGTAATCTAACACGATCATCAGACATAAAACAGTATCAAAACTATGTAACATTATGGAATAAAATGTCGACCCATGAAGAGGTAATAATAACTGTCAAGCTTTGGGGTGTTGATCGACTTTGGTTAGGTCAAGGTAGTCGTGACTCGTGTCTATAGTAGTAATAATGCTACATACACAATACACCATTTTATATTATTCTTTTTCATTATTATTATTATTTTATGTATTTATTGTCAATTGATGATGTTTGCTTTGATTCTGACTTTAATTCTCTGCAGTTTCTAAAACATAAGTGGGAAGGAGTAATTGCATTAGGCTAGGCCTACTCATCACAAATGTATTGGGGTAAAGAGTACATACTGTATATGTATTCAAAAATGTAGTAAAAAAGTAGAGAGTAAAGTGGCAATGTCTTTGATACTCAGTAAAACTACAAATAGGCTAGCCAAAAAGCAACTTATTAAGTAAAAAATCTAATTATATGTACTCAAATACTTTATACCACTGAAAGCATGCAAAACAGTAACTAATGAGGGTTAATTATATAGTGTTATCTTAACAGCATTTAATCCCATTGACTACTAAATTATGGGTAGGTTTTCAACTCATTTACAAATGAACTTCTGTTTTTTGGCTATACAGGTGCATCTCAATAAATTAGAATGTCATGGAAAAGTTTATTTCAGTAATTCAACACAAATTGTGAAACTCGTGTATTAAATAAATTCACTGCACACAGACTGAAGTAGTTTAAGTCTTTGGTTCTTTTAATTGTGATGATTTTGGTTCACATTTAACAAAAACCCAACAATTCTTATATTTCATACGAAAAATACAGAACATGATGCTGATTAAACACAAAAGATAATACTGATAATTCCAGAAACATATTTTTATTCATTGTCAATGCAGTAGCAGTATAATAGAAACAATTAGTTCTAACCACCTTAAGACAGACAAATATAATTCTATCAAACATAAGCAGAAATAACCCTTTATGAATGTTCTAGAAAGAAAGTAAAAGAGTATCTGCAAACTTGCAGGCATGGAACACAGACACAGGCAAAGATACATGAATTCTGAATTAAATGATTTCAGCAAAACCAAAAAAAAATATTATCATATTTCCCCAATTTATCTTGCACACCAGGTGCTTTAAATAAAGCTTTTTAAAAGGTTCAGGTTGTGTTTAAATGTGCTGTCTGCTGCGAGCTGAGTATAAAATTCAATACGAGCATGCTAAAATGTATCTCTCCATGAACAGAGCTTTGATACTGTTCTAAAGGATGTTGACAGAAGCTTTGATTGTGTGTAAATGAGTGTATGGCAGATTAAACAGTGTTAATTATTACTTTTTCATCAGTCATCATCATCATAATATCGATTCTGTTTAATTTGATCCTCTACGGACAAGAAGTCATTTTCATCCTGCCAGAGGCTGCTGGCTTCACTCAGCAGCTCAGCATCTTTGGTGTCATTTTTATCGAGCGGATTCTTCCTCATTTCCGCCTCAGTGTGTTGGCCCATCTCCCCCTTTGATTCTATTCCAAAATCCAGAAGGTCATCCAGCTGAGATGAAGCTGATTCCTTGCTACAAATGTCATCCTTAAATTCAGGAAACAATCTAGAACTGTCATCAAAACCTGCAAATATGTCATCTAAGAAACGTGAGGCACTAAACTCTGGGTCGTCATCTGTCTCAGTGCAAACCAATGTTTTGGGCTGTTCTTGTTCTGCCTCTTTTATGTCATGTGAGTGTTTGGCACGTGATGAGACAGAGCTGTCATCTTTGAGCTGTTGGAATATGTCAGAAGCCCTCATCTCACTGTTGATCTCTTCTTTAAATGGTTCCTCAGCAGGAGGTGGCCCTGAGGAGAAGTCCAACAGCCCTGGTTCTTCTTTAATTTCACCAATTCCTGCCAAACTGGCCTTGTTGTCCAATATTAGGTTGCTGTTGTTATTATTATTGTTGTTTGCATTGCCATTGGCTGTTTGGCCATTTGGTATTTCACCATCTATCACCATCACTTTTACCTCTTCTTCCTTATTTACTTCACTTTGCACTTTCTTTTCACTTTCCTTAGTACCATTTTCATCTGTGTTATTTGCATTTTCACTTTCCTCTTCATTCTTAGATCCTTCTACGACTCCATTCTCCAACTCCTCCTCAACTTTTTGACCATTCATCTCACTTCCTTCTTTTGTCTCAATTGCTTGAGTTGTCTCATTATTTCTCTGCTCTGTGGTCTGCTGGCTTTCGTTGGAGGGCTCAATGGCTTTGCCTGTTTCACTGGCATCCTCTCCCCCCTCAGCAGTTTCAGGTTTTGGTGTTGGCTCCTCTGTCTCTTGAGTTATTTTAGCATCTGTAGATGATTTTTCTGGCATATTTATGGGTGACATAAGCCCTCCACCATTTTCTTTAGGGACATTTTCTGCAGAGTTTCCTCTAGTAATTGCAGTTTGCCTCTTATTTACTGCTGGTTCATTATTCTCTTTACCTGAGAGTTCTGATTCAACTTGAGGGGGCCAGACAGGTTTGACTACCTTTATTTCATCCTCCAAATTAAATGCCTTTTTTGGGGAATCGCTGAGGGGTGGCCACACAACTGCCATTTTATTTGCTGGCTTCTTAATGTCATCATTCGTCTTTTCTTGAGTCATCCTCTCTGTGGTGTTGGGGTCATTTTCTTGTGGGCTGTGAGTTACTTTGACATTAAAATTGACAGGAGGGTTGTTTTTCATGTTATTTGTCTCTGATGAGTTGTTCTGATTATTTGTACTCCAAAGTTCTTTGTGGGGCCTTTCTCCAAACCCTTCATCATAGTTGCCTTTAGACTTAAAAAGTTGTTTGTAGTGTGGCTTGCAGTACATTCGTCCACGGAGAGAAGCATAATTTCCAAGACTGAAGTAGAGAGAGAAGCACAAATATGAGATATCAGCCATACACAAATATCAGATATGAATCTGATATAAACTAGATGGCTGTATAATGTATTCTGTCATTACAACAAGAACAGCTCACATACTCATAACACCCAAATCAAATAAACCTGCATGGAATTATGATGCATATCAACTTTTCAACATTCTTCATCTTAAGCCCCGTTCACACCAAGAACGATAACTATAAAGATAACAATGAAGATAACGATATTAGCGTCCACACCAGCGAACGATATCATCTGTTTATTCTAAGCGCACACTCGTCTGCCACTTTAAATTCTCGAGCTCGTTACAGCAGGATGGATTCTGATTGGCTATCAATTTTTATCGTTCATCAGCAGAAAAAAAATCGTTTTGAAAGTGGTTCCAACTATATAGCTTCTCTTTGTCTTTATTGTTATAGTTGTGGTGTGGACTCTGCTATTCTTTAATATTGAGAACGATTTTTAGAACTATATCTTTATCGTTATCTTTATAGTTATCGTCCTTGGTGTGAATGGGCCTTTATTCCACACTGTAACAAATTAAAATGTTGAAAACATCTAGGATTAATGTAAAAAGAAGGCTCTACCTTAGCTGGCTGCTGCAGTGGGCACATCTAAAACAGCTTTTATGGAAGTTTTGCTTGTCTGCTATGAGAGACTCCATGGGATACACCCTCTTCCGACATACCTGACACAGTTCGGACTCTGGCACCCGTATTTTCTGTCAGAGAGAGAGACTAGCATCAAAAAATGCTTTTAAATCTGTTAACACACATTCATGCACAGACTCACATAAACAGACACCAGACAGTTTCATTATACTTTTATGAGCAGAGGTTGGTAAGTTAGAAGATAATAAAAAGAAACAAGAAGCTGTTAGTATAGTAGTTAGAATGAAAACATTTAAACACTACATGCATTTAGGGAGGTGCAATACAAATGCAAACATCACATTAGGACCTCAGCACAGTCTTGTTACATATAGTGGGCAATACTACAAATATACAAATATTCCATCAATAATAACAAAATAATAATCATATTCACTATGACTATCTGTTTAGCAGCACTCTGTTAAGAACACAAACTAAAAGATCAAAATAAAAGTACAGACA